CAAGGGAGGGCTGCTTTGTTTCCTCCTCTGCGGTAAGATGCTTTCCCATGCCACGCAGCAGTGACTTCGGCAGACACGGACGCAATGCACAGGTGAGCGGGATACAGGCCTGGGGTGCTTCTGGGCTCCAGCAGCTGTGTTCCCTCTGCCTCTGCTACCCTCGGGATCGGCTGGTGGGAATGGGACCAGTTTTCAGTTCCCAAGGGAGGGCTGCTTTGTTTCCTCCTCTGCGGTAAGATGCTTTCCCATGCCACGCAGCAGTGACTTCGGCAGACACGGACGCAATGCACAGGTGAGCGGGATACAGGCCTGGGGTGCTTCTGGGCTCCAGCAGCTGTGTTCCCTCTGCCTCTGCTACCCTCGGGATCGGCTGGTGGGAATGGGACCAGTTTTCAGTTCCACCTCCCCTCCACCCTGGGCAGGGCAGGCCCATCACAGCTCGGGCTGCGACTCCCAAGCAGAAGTGAGAATGGAAGGCCTAGCACTTTAGGGAAGCAAGGGGCATAAGGGCTGCAGCATAAGTTTTACTCTCCGGATGAACAGACGGCAAAGCGCTGTGTGTTTTACCTGCAGCAGCTGTCACGGTGCCCTGCAGGGTCTCCTCCCTCCACATCCCTGGAGCCCCTGAGCCACGTGAGGAGGAAAAAGGGGCAGATTTGATGACACGTTCAGTGAGATCCTGCAAGCTAATGCTGCTTTGGAGCATCCGCACGGGGCCTGGAGGATGAACACGCAGACAGCCTGGGGAGGAGAGAGAGCCAGGACTGCAGCAGGAAACGAGAAGGAAATGGACCAGACACGATGGGGCTTCTGGAAATACTGCAGACACCAGTGGACTTGCAGATTCAGCACTCCTACGTTTGCCTGTCTCTGCTGCCCACTGAGAACTCTATGCTGGGACCTCCCTTAATGTTCCACATGGCTCCAGAACCCCTAACACGCCAGCCCCGGACGCTAAAGACAGTCACAGCTTCCTACGCACCAGCCGTGTGGATCCAAAATGCTCTTTTCCCAGCATAAGTTCTGCTTTATTGACTTATTCAACTGTATTCAATGCTTAAGGATTTGTTTTAAAATTGCGGGGGTTTTGCGCTGGTTTTGTTACAGAATAAAATTCTGTTGTTTGGAGCCTAATTTATCTCTGTTCACAACTTATGCTGCCGAGTGCTTAGCAGTTCTGAAAGCAACCAATTACCCGTTAATGAACAGCGTCACCCAGCTCACGGGATGAGTCACAAACAAAATGACCAGGTGCACTGAGAATGTTATAGGCCTACGTGGGCAGTAGTCACCACATGATTCCGAGCAGGCCACAGAACAGCAGGGCCAGCAAAGTACACTACCACAGCACACACTACTCTGGCTCGCTGCTGATATGGTCTTTTCAAGTCTCCCTGAGCCTTACAGCTCTGTTCTGAGCTCTTCTAGTAGCCCTGGTATCTGGCTGTTCAAACTCAGCAGACTCCCACTCTCCATCCTGGTGGAAACTTTTCCCCATTTGCCTCACAGATGTTATGCAGGACACAGCAGGCAGCTATAACTTCGGGATACTGTTCTCACTGCGATTCAGTATGGTGAGTGCACGATGCCTGCATTCCTTCAGACAACCAGAAGCACCCAACTCCCTCCTCACCAAGTCAGGGGGTAGCTCAGTCCTTGCCTGGTGCTGCTGGAGAGACCTGTGAGCCATGGGGGAAGGAGGAGGCTGGGCCCCCCAAGATCATAGCTGTATCCTTCTGGTGCCAAGGGTGATCCCCCGGTGGGGATAAAATGTCCTGCCTGGTAGCTTTCCAAACAGCCCGGTGCACTCAGGAGTGGCCCGAGAGTGTCTGTAGCCGCTGGTGCCCCAGGCGGAAGGCGCGATCGGTGCCCCTGCCTGCATGGCCATCAGTGGCCATGACGTAATCACAGGGCGCCCAGGCCAGTGGCGCCCTAGGTGACTGCCTAGGCTCCCGGGCCGCCTGAGTGCACTCGTTGCACCTTCCCTGAGCACCCCACCCTGATGTCAGTGACGTGCCCTGGTGATCCCCAGCGCTCACGTACCTGTCGGAAAGGGATGCGTCTCCAGGGGAGCCGTGTTAGTCTGTTCCAGCGAATGCAATGAGGAGTCCTGCACCTGAGAGACTTTGGTTAAACACGCACTAGGAGGCACGGCGGAAGGAAATGGGCGTCTTTAGTTTGGAAAGGAGACGCCTGAGAGGGGACCCGATGGCGGTTTTCAGGTATCTAAAAGGGCGTCACAGGGAGGAGGGGGGGCAATTGTTCTCCTTGGCCTCTGAGGACGGGACGACGCAATGGGCTTACATTGCAGCAAGGGGGGCTTAGGTGCTGGGTCCTGCCGTGGGGGCCGGGGACTGGACTCGCTGACTCTCGAGGCCCCTCCCAGTTCTAGCGTCTGTGATTCTAGGATTCTACGTCTGCATAAACCGACGTGGGCTGGAGCCCACTGCCTCAGAAAAGGGTTGAGGAAATGGGCTTGAGCTCCCCCTGGGCTGGGGGCTGGAGCCGCATGAGACCTGCCCAGCAGGCGCCCAGGGGAGTGGAATATCCGGCCTCACGTATGAAAAGTGCCATGGAAGGAAGGTGGCTTTGCTCCAAGTGCACATCCATGCCACATTCCAATGCTGACTACTGGGTGGACTAACCCCCCTAACTGTGTGTCATAGACCCCGTACCACCGCTGCCAATGGAGATTCTCCTCTGGAGCCAGGGGCATGGGTGACTGGGCCTTTGGGGCAGGAGGAGTGGTGTTGAAGCCCATTGCAGGCAGCCCGCTGACAGGGGCTCTAGGCAGCTGGTGTTTGTTCTGCCCTGGGGCTTTCCTGGGGGCTCCTTCCCTTTCTCGGGGGCGTGGGCTAAGCGAGCGTTCTCAGGAGATCGGTGCAGGATGATTACGCCCCAGCGAGGCGGAATTTGGGTTGCAAGACACGTGGTATCTGGTTACACATCAGTGGGGGGAAGGGGCGCTGTGCACAGATAACAGGAAACAGGACACACATTGGGGTAGGAAAAAACACCCAACCCAGCACTGTAGCCGGCCTCAGAGGGTGCCAGGGGCGTTGCCCGAACCACATGGCACTTCCTATTCCCAGCAGCCGTGAGACACTCACAGCGAGCTGAGGCCAAGCAGGTGCCGGGGCTGGCTGGCTCCTCCTGCCTCTGTGCCTGGGGACCCCGCGGCCCAGAGGGCTGGAGGAGGGGATGGGGGGGACGTGGAGCCTTGAAGAAAATCCCTTTGTGTGGGGGAGGGAGCCGGGGGCTCACGTGGCGCTGCGGCCCTGCGCCAGCCCCCTGACCCGGCAGCCGCCCGCTCGGGGCCAGAGCAGAGGCCGGCTGGTTTGCGCACAAGCCCCGGGGCCTCTCCTGAAGGGGCGGGAAGGTTAGCGCCAGGCATGGGGCACCCCTCAGTACTGGACTCCCACGCACCCTGGGCCCTCCCCCATTCTCAGTCTGCATTAACCAGGGCAAGACGTGGGCCTGCTTGGCCGCCCCATCCCTGGGCCTCTAGGAAGGGCAAGGCCGTGGGGGCAGCAGCCTCGGGGAATCTGACCTGCAGGGCCTGGGGAATCCTCCAGTCGGTCGTCTCTGTAGAGGAGATTTCAGCCCAGACCCCTGGGGCCTGAGCAGACCCGGGGTGGAGAGAGCACAGGCCTGGGGACTGCTTTGGGGGAGGGGGTCCAGTGTGCAGGATCAAAGCCACTGCCCCCCCCCAGCAACCAGAGTCTTGCCATTCCCACCAGCTGGCCGTGCCCATGTGGCCACTAGCCTCTGCGAGGCAGCGTGGGCCAGAGCTCTGGTGAGCTGGGGGCCTAGTTCTGCCTCTGTGGGGTGACCTCGGGGAGATCGCGTCCATGCGCCGTGCCTCAGTTTCCCTCTCACCCTTTGTGGAGACTGGGAGCTCTTTGGAGCAGGGGCTGCCTCCTAGTGGGTGTTTGGCCAGCCCCTAGCAGAATGGGGCAGCTGGGACTTGTGGGGGGCTGACTGGGGGGCAGAGACCCTGCCCCTACCCAGGGCCCACACCTGCTCTTCTTCCCGTCTCTCAGGGCAGCTGCGGGCTGTGGCTGGCGGGGGCCGAGACGCTGCTGGTGCCAGTGTGAGTGAGCGGCAGTTTCGGGATGAGTCACTGGGGTCTCAGATGAGCCTGGCATCCTGTTTGCAGTCAGACTGCGACAGGACACAGGCGCGGGCACCGTGAACCACACTGAGTCAGGGCCCCCCCCGTCTGCATCTGCACAGGCCTGTCGGGCCTGGGTGGGGACGCTGGGCCAGGCCACGGGGGCCAGGCAGGGGTGGACACGGATTGCTGCGGAATCCCCCCTGGCGGCGAGTGAGATGGGCTGGGGAGCTCAGGCGGCAGGAAGAGTCCGGGCCCCAGCCTGGGCATGGCCGGGATGAATTCCAAAGCTGGGAGCAGCCCACCTCGTGCCGGGAGGTTGTTTCTAAAGCAGGGGGAGGAAGGCAACCCAGGGAGGGTCCCCAAAGCCGTGTGGGGCTCTCCAGCCGAAGGGAGGGACAGCGGGCGGGCGCACAGGGCACTTCGGAGCCATCTGAGGGGCGAGATGCACTTCACGTTTCATTTTCTTTAAACTTCTTTAACCCCAAAGCCACCTCATTCGCACGAACAGCCACCGAGACACGACAAGCTCTCAGAGCACAGGGAGGAGGCAGAAGCCCAGCAGCAGAGTGGGGACTGGCCAGTTTAGTGCACCCAATGTAGCATGTCTGATCATCTGCCCCATGGGGCAAGGAGCTCCTGGCCCTCAGGGACCGTGTAGGGGCCCTGGAGACCAGGGTGGAGTGGAGGAGCTAAGGGAGGCCGGGAGGTGCGTGGGTGAGACTTTCTAGGACACAGTAGAACGGTCCCACCCCGGTCAGACAGCCCTGGTGCTGCTGAGGAGGGTGAAAGGCTCAGGGAAGGAGAACAGCCAACGGCAGCAGAGGGAAAAGATCCCCCAGTCGGGACCCTCCGTCCAGAGGATGTTGGGGGACCTCTCGGGGGCAGGGTCCAGTCGTTAGGAAGCGGTGGTGTCAGTCCGGGGGATTCGATCCGACACACGGCCGGGTTTGCGGTGGCCGGGAGGACCCCATGGGGACCTGCTTGCTGGGCGAGGGATGTGGCTCTCTCGAGGCAGCTAAATCAGCAGTTTTCAAACTTTTCTTCTCATGACCCAGTTGAAGAAAATCGTTGACGCTGCAACCCACCGGAATGTGACTGCGGGCGGGGCTAGGAACTCTGGGCTGCAGGAGGGGGCTCCGGCTTTGGGCTGGGGCCGGCCTCCAGCGGCTCCCAGGCAGGGGCACAGTGGGGGGGCTAAGGCAGCTTCCTGCCTCGCCTGGCCCCGCTGCCCATGCTGTGCCCAGCAGCAGGTTCCCAGCCAGTGGGAGGGCGGAGCTGGTGCGCAGGGCAGGGGCAGTGCACGGAGGCCTGTGTGCTCCCCACACCCACCTAGGAGCCGGGCCTGCTGCCGGCCGCCTCTGGGGCCCAGCACAGCCTGCGGTGCAGGACAGGCAGGGGGCTGCCCCCTGCTCACCTGATCCCCCTGCAGCCAGGGGGCCCAGCGCCCGACATTCCACCCCCCAGCGTGGGTCGCGCCCCGTTGTTTGAAACCCGCTGATCTAGACAGGCCTGTGGCAGTGCTGGGGAGGACCCAGCGGTCGTGGTCCACGTGGGTACCCTTGCCCCAGGGATGGCCGGGGAGAGGCTGCTAGGAAAGAGACCGAACCCCCGATCCCTGAGATGCTTCCAGTTCCGTGTGCAGGGCCGGGCAGACAGGCGGAACCGCTGGGTCTCAGTGCCTGGGGAGACCAGTGGGGCAGGGTGGAGGGGTTAGGAACCGGGGAGTGTCATGGGGCAGGACTCACCATGGCTCGCTCCCGCCTGTAGCACCAGGGCATTAGACCTGCCATCAGCAGGGCACCTCCTTTGGGCGACCGGCGCCCCGTCCAGTCCTGCTCCGGCCCCGTGTGGCCCCTTCTGGACACTGCCCTCCAGCAGCGCCCGCCGCTCTGGTCTCTCGCCCCCTGCCGGGGGTATCGGCCGGCCGAAGTCTGGCACCTGCCGCTGGGGCCAGGGCCCAGCCACCCACCAATGGCGGCCAGACACAGTGCAAGGGGGGACCCAGGCCCTGCCCAATACTCTCCAGCAACCCCTAAAAGCTCCCGTCCGGCCGAGCGCTCCGCACAGGCTCCCTCCAGCCTGCTTACCCCCTTCCGGCCCGCGTGGGGCAGGCGCCCCCACAGGCTGGGCTCCCCCTTCCAGAAGGGAAGCAGGGTGCTGGCACTTCAAACAAAGGGGCGTAGAGCAGTTTTGGAACGGAGGGCTGGGGAAAGCTGCCATGGACTAGAGCAAGGTTCCCAACCTGGGCTACGCGAACCCCCAGGGGCACGAGAGGCTCGTCCAGGGGATACGGGGAATAGTTGGTAAATAACTAGATTATTCTAACTGAAATATTCCAAAAGTAGCAGAGTTAGTGAAAAAGGTTGTGGATTCCAGAGTCTGGAATTGATTTCCTTTCCTATTGACTAGGGGGTACGGGAAGGTTCACTAAAAGCCAAGGGAGTACGGGGACCAAAAAAGGTTGGGAACCCCTGGACTAGGCAGAGACAGCCTTAGGGGAAGGTCTATTGCCAGAGCTTCTCTGTATCCTGGTGAGGAGGGGAGGATGGAAGCGATAAAATGCAGGTAAGAGCTGATGAGAAACAGACAAATGAAAAAACCAGTCCCGCCCAATCACAGGAGCTTATAGCAGGCAGCTAAAAAGTGGCAATTTTCAGTGCTTAATACGAACCCGAGAAATCGAAATAACGCTAGTTCACCGTCTCGCCTGGTGTGAAAGGAGGCTATGGATGGAACAGGCATCACAGAAACGAGGTGGCATGTGGACAGAGGGATACAGTCGTACCAGGGCACAAAAGACAGCGGCAGGACAGAGCGCACCGCGCGGGTGGGGGCGTGGCGCTGTGTGAAAGAGCATAGAATCAAATTCAGTAAAAACCTTAAATGAACCAAATTGTGCCATTGAATCGACGGACGGTAACTCCAGGCTCTAGGCTGTAGTGGCAGATACATCACCGACCACCTGCCCAGGCTGGCGAGCGTCACTGGGACGCGCAGAGAGATTAGAGAGGAAAACAGCCACGGCCCGGGGGAGGCGCTGCACCCGGCGTATCCCATCGCCATATTGCAACCCAACCCTGGGCACAAAAGCACCTTTCCTGGGTCGTTTCTGCCTTGTCTCATTCACAGCTCCTTCCCACGCTGACTTCGGGGTGGTTGGTTTTCAAAACAAACGGCTGTTTAAAGTGGAAACAAAATGTGTGTGTTGTGTGCGCACACGTGCACGTGTGTTGTTTGTGTGTGTTGTGTGTGCACGTACGTGTGGTGTGTGTTGTGTGCGTGTGTGCGGTATGTGCATGCATGTGTTTTATGTATGTGTGTGCGTGTGATTTCTAAAGGTTATTTTGAAAACTCCTCTGGGATAATTGAAATTTGAGATCATGGTTGACAGTTCCCTAAAAAACCCCCAAACCAGAGCCAACCCAAGCCCCAAAAGCAAAGCAAGAAAACCCAGCGTCCGCCCAAGGGTGAAAGGCGGCTGCGTCTAACTGAAATATTCCAAAAGTAGCAGAGTTAGTGAAAAAGGTTGTGGATTCCAGAGTCTGGAATTGATTTCCTTTCCTATTGACTAGGGGGTACGGGAAGGTTCACTAAAAGCCAAGGGAGTACGGGGACCAAAAAAGGTTGGGAACCCCTGGACTAGGCAGAGACAGCCTTAGGGGAAGGTCTATTGCCAGAGCTTCTCTGTATCCTGGTGAGGAGGGGAGGATGGAAGCGATAAAATGCAGGTAAGAGCTGATGAGAAACAGACAAATGAAAAAACCAGTCCCGCCCAATCACAGGAGCTTATAGCAGGCAGCTAAAAAGTGGCAATTTTCAGTGCTTAATACGAACCCGAGAAATCGAAATAACGCTAGTTCACCGTCTCGCCTGGTGTGAAAGGAGGCTATGGATGGAACAGGCATCACAGAAACGAGGTGGCATGTGGACAGAGGGATACAGTCGTACCAGGGCACAAAAGACAGCGGCAGGACAGAGCGCACCGCGCGGGTGGGGGCGTGGCGCTGTGTGAAAGAGCATAGAATCAAATTCAGTAAAAACCTTAAATGAACCAAATTGTGCCATTGAATCGACGGACGGTAACTCCAGGCTCTAGGCTGTAGTGGCAGATACATCACCGACCACCTGCCCAGGCTGGCGAGCGTCACTGGGACGCGCAGAGAGATTAGAGAGGAAAACAGCCACGGCCCGGGGGAGGCGCTGCACCCGGCGTATCCCATCGCCATATTGCAACCCAACCCTGGGCACAAAAGCACCTTTCCTGGGTCGTTTCTGCCTTGTCTCATTCACAGCTCCTTCCCACGCTGACTTCGGGGTGGTTGGTTTTCAAAACAAACGGCTGTTTAAAGTGGAAACAAAATGTGTGTGTTGTGTGCGCACACGTGCACGTGTGTTGTTTGTGTGTGTTGTGTGTGCACGTACGTGTGGTGTGTGTTGTGTGCGTGTGTGCGGTATGTGCATGCATGTGTTTTATGTATGTGTGTGCGTGTGATTTCTAAAGGTTATTTTGAAAACTCCTCTGGGATAATTGAAATTTGAGATCATGGTTGACAGTTCCCTAAAAAACCCCCAAACCAGAGCCAACCCAAGCCCCAAAAGCAAAGCAAGAAAACCCAGCGTCCGCCCAAGGGTGAAAGGCGGCTGCGGCTGGCAGTCACACTGCTCCACGCCCGCTGGCCAATGTTCCATGGGTTGCAGGGGCTTTCTCCATCCTGTTTGGGGGACAAAGCCGCTGTTGTTCTAACCCTCTGCTCTAGCAACGATTTGCAGCAGCTCTCTGGCCTGCGTCATGCAAGAGGTCAGACTAGATGTCCCCACGTGTCCTTTCTGGCCTTGGACTCAGCAGACCAGTCCTAAGCAAGCCCCCGTCTTTCAAGCAATCCCCCACACTGCCATACAGAGGGGCAGCACTGGATCTGCTTGAGAGGCAGTGTGGCCTAGTGGACAGAGCACTGGAGTCAATTATCAGCTCTGCCATAGGTCTGCGGGGTGACCTCGGGCAAGTCACTTCCTTTCTCCGGGCCTCAGTTTCCCCATCTGGGTAATGGGGATAAGGACACACTCTCAATCAGAAAGTGCTTGGAGCCCTACAGATGTGAAGTGCTGGGTACCAGCATTTAGGATTGAATCACCCCACAGCCCCGCAGAGAGCAGGGGGAGCTGAGCTCAGACTCAAACATCTGGGGACAAGGGTACTGCTTCCCAGCACCTGGGGTGCCACCCTCTGGAGACTGCACAGGGTGAGGGCAGAGAGCAGCCCTGGCATACCCCCCCAGATCCCCCCGAAGCAGGGATCTCTGCCCTGCCAAGCAGGATTCCGGTTTCCCCCCACCCCTGCCACAGACCCGCCTGCGGCTGGAAGAGGCGATGGAGGCAAAGCAAGGAAGAGACAAGAGGGTGTGTCAATTTCTGCTGCCTTAGGCAGTAGGAAGATGACCCCGACGGGTTTTCCCCCAACCCATCCTCCCCCACACTTGTATTTTGATGAGCGAGCCAGCCTGGCAGCCGCCTAGCAGGGCTCTGAGCCCAAGGAAGTGGAGTATGTGTAAGGGGGAGGGGGGGGGGGCAGGCGCTGTGAGCATCCATGTAACTCAAACGCTGGGGAGGAAATCAGCTTTGGGGGCATGGAAGCCCGGCCCGCCTGGCGTCAGGGCTGGGGATGTGTCCCGGGCCGGGACAGACTGGGAGAAAAGAATAACCACCAGGTTTGTTACTGAGCAGGGAGGGCGCGGGGGAGGGGGTTAGCCCTTACCAGGCTGCAGAGCCCAAGGAGAGTGCCCATCTCGTGCGGCTCCCCGCCCGGCTTCTGGGGGCTGGCGCCCGGCCGAGACTACGGGCTGGCGGGGAGGGCCGGGGCCGCCGAGCGCCATGCAAGCTGCAGGAAAGGCTGGGGGGAAACAGGAGATGGTGAAAGCCCAGAAAAGCAGAAGTGGAGAATGACCTCAGCCTGCTCCCAGCTGCCCGCAGGCCTTCCCCAGCACCAGGCGCGCAGGACGCAGCCCCTCCAGCACCCCTCGGTGCTTCTGATGCTCACGGCAGGTAAGCCCCACGGCACGGCCTGGGCTCGGCGTGCGCGGCGCCGCGGGGAACGTGGCAGCAGCCGGGCAGCCCCTGCCGTGGCCGGGCCGGGCTGTGATTCCTCCCAGCGAGGCAGCACCGCCAGTGACTAACGCTCGCTGGGGCAGCGCCGCTGGGCACCCGCTGTCAAACCCCCACCCACACCAGCCAATGAAACTGCACTGGCACCGCAGAGGCTACCAAAAATAGACAGCAGCAGGAGCGTGCATGGGCAAAGCCACTTCCTCTGATGGTGGTGCCCTCGCACGCTCAGGAGGCTGGGTGTATTTTGGTGCCTCTGAGGTGCTTTGAGAGCTCCAGACTCGGCCGGCTGCCCCACTGCGGCCTGTTAATGGCAAGAGAAACCCCCCAAGCCTCGCAGATCGGCAGGAGGTGAAACGGCTTCGTTGCACGGCAGCACAGAAGCGTCCCTCCGCGGCCTTCCCTGCCCCCTGCGCAAGCAGAAATTGGAGCCAGCACCTGGCTGGGGAGGGAGCGCGGAGGACGGTAACTGGCTA